ACCCATTAAATGAACGAACAGACGGCTAGCTTAACAATGATCAATTACAGTATAACAATGATAAATTACCTGATTACCTTAAAACACGCGGACTGACTTGCACAAAACAAGCAACTGCCCCCCTCTGAGTTAATTTGCTGAGCCCCCCCGGGATGAGTGATTAACCCCGAGCCTCATGAGGTTCTAATTTCACGACGGAACCTGCGGAACACGTGGCAATCGAGGGGATTGTCGACATTCCACGTTTCCTCGACGGCACCAGGCACATCAGCCATGATCGATCCACTGCTGGATGAAGGGTCCAGGGATTTGTTGGTTTGGTGTGCCGCAAAGATCGAGCAAGTTCGGAAGTGAGTGCCTGCAGTGTGATGGTTGAGAAGCAATGCTTTATATTACTGTAACTTTAATGTTTTAACAACACAGTCAAGGAGCGTAACGCGTTCTAGAGAACGGTGGAGAAGACGGAGCGATAAAATCGGTTAAAGTGCAGATGCTGGATGGATTGTTGCATCGAAATATTGTGAGAGGTGGCAGTGGTTTTGGGAGGCCTTCATCCAGCAGTGGATTGATCATGGCCGATGATGCATTTCTCAGGACTCTTGATCGCATACACTTTTTTTTGGTAACGTGAAACCTATATTCATTTGAAAACGCAGGAAATTGGTCGGGGGGGAAAGGAGTACTGGATATGAATTTTTAAAAACTAGGTCGTTATAATTACGTCGGCAAGGTGCCTCAAAAGCACTCGCAACAAGGTCAATGGTGGATAAAGTAAAACACATAATTGGAGAAAGTCAATTACTCAGAAATGCGAGTCGTGGTTTGGTGTGATTTGGAGGCATGAATTACGTACACACGCCCGTGCCTGGCCTGAAATGCGTACTTTACAAACCCACGTGGCATTAAACACATTTTACCCACATGTACAGCCTGTAATAATTGTAATAAAACCCCATTGAAATTATACAGTATGTTTTTTTTCCTGCACTCATAACCAAATTGGAACCGTCTGGGAAAGGGACAGAGTATCAAGTCTCCCAACAGGATTGACACCAACTACATTTGGCAAACAACACAAGTTGAAGACAACTGTCGTGCTATTATTCACACACAGAGAGATAACAATAACTTTAATGAATGACATAAGTTGGGTAATTCAGGTCACCGTATTTGGTGATGACTACTGGCTTGAACTGGGATATGCTTAATCATGGGACCTCCTTTGCCAATACCAAAATATGAGAAGAGGTCTTCCCCTTTTTCTGGCAACAACACAGGTGTTAAGATATTAAAACACCAAACTGAAACCTTTTACAAGGAATCATGTCTGCATTAACCACAATACTTGTGGTCAGAATGCAAACAAAAAAACATACTCTGATAATATATGCATTGTCTGATTAAAACTGATTGATTGGTCCACACCAGAGACACCGTTTGAGACGAGGCTCTAAAGAAAGTTGCCTCTGGTGTCGACCAATCAGTTTCAATCAGACAATGCATATATTATCAGTGTGCATTCTGACCACAAGTATTGTGGTTAATGCGCACATGATTCCTTGTAAAAGGTTTCAGTTTGGTGTTTTAACATCTTAACACCTAAATTTTGATTTAAAGCTTTCGTGACTGCAGTAATTCATATTCTTAGTTTTTTCGGTAAAGTCACGTTGAAGAGAAACAACAAAATAACAAAATATATATAAAAAACAATAAAAAATTCTCACGACGTTTCGACCATAACTCAAACGGTCATCATCAGGTGTGTCGGTTTGCATAAATTTATTTTGAAAACGGCATATTTATTTATATATATAAAAATAACGTTTGCGTCACGCGCAACGATGGCAGTTTGCCAGGACTAGTCCATCTATTTTTTGAAAGGAGGAGGGGGGAGACGAAATTTGTTTTTATGTATGCTGTCTGAAAGGCACTGTAAGCGTGAACAATCAATCAAGAACTGAAATGATTTATCAAATCTTTCCAATGATTGCTAAGATAGAATCCATCTTCTCGGTTGAAATTGTCTCTGTGTTTGTATATGTGGATAGCCTCATGAACGAATCTCTCATGGAAGCCAGATGGCTTACAAAGAACCTCCGTCTTGGAAAAGTCAATGGCATGTGAGCCTACTGAATTAGAACAATGATCTGCTACGGCCGAGGTGTTGGTCCTACCGTGTTTAAGGTCTGCTTTATGTTCACGAATGCGGTCCGAGATATGGCGTTTGGTTTCTCCAATGTAACTACTACCACAGAGGCAACTTAGTTTGTAGACACCAGGGTATTGTATGTCCGGAATCACATCTTTTACAGACGGAACCAGATGGTTCAATGAGCCACTCTGTCTACAGGAAAGCTACCCATATGGATGCTTATCTGAAACCGGATTCCCACCACCATCCATCACAGAAGAATTCTCTCATCAAGACTCTGTATCATAGAGCCCAATGCATATCCGACCAGGAACACATAAGCAGTGAACTCAAGCACGTACACCAAGCTCTTAGGGCTAATGGTTACTCCGACTATACAATCCGCAAAGCTATCACTCAAACCATGAAGAAGAACCCTCTTGAGGAGCCTTTCAAAACCATCACTTTACCCTACATTGCTGGGATCACAAAAAAAGATCTCCAAAATCTTGAATAAACACAAGATCCAGGTCCGTTTCAACACATTACATAAAATCCGTGATCTGGTTCCGTCTGTAAAAGATGTGATTCCGGACATACAATACCCTGGTGTCTACAAACTAAGTTGCCTCTGTGGTAGTAGTTACATTGGAGAAACCAAACGCCATATCTCGGACCGCATTCGTGAACATAAAGCAGACCTTAAACACGGTAGGACCAACACCTCGGCCGTAGCAGATCATTGTTCTAATTCAGTAGGCTCACATGCCATTGACTTTTCCAAGACGGAGGTTCTTTGTAAGCCATCTGGCTTCCATGAGAGATTCGTTCATGAGGCTATCCACATATACAAACACAGAGACAATTTCAACCGAGAAGATGGATTCTATCTTAGCAATCATTGGAAAGATTTGATAAATCATTTCAGTTCTTGATTGATTGTTCACGCTTACAGTGCCTTTCAGACAGCATACATAAAAACAAATTTCGTCTCCCCCCTCCTCCTTTCAAAAAAAAAAATAGATGGACTAGTCCTGGCAAACTGCCATCGTTGCGCGTGACGCAAACGTTATTTTTATATATATAAATAAATATGCCGTTTTCAAAATAAATTTATGCAAACCGACACACCTGATGATGACCGTTTGAGTTATGGTCGAAACGTCGTGAGAATTTTTTATTGTTTTATATATATTTTGTTATTTTGTTGTTTCTCTTCAACGTGACTTTACCGAAAAAACTAAGAATATCTTAACACCTGTTTTGTTGCCATAAAAAAGGAGAAAACCTATTCTCATATTTTGGGATATGCTTGTTACTAATGCTCAACTCTTAATACTAACACTTTGAAACGTGCCAATTTCACTCACCAGCATCAGGAATCATCAGAACAGCAGTTTTAAGTTGATTTACGCATTTCATAACAGTTAAAATGCAGTACACTATAGGTCTGCAGATCTGCTTCCAGTTTGAATTGATGTTAGTGTTCCTCAGCTATATGTGAGTCATGTTAGTCTAAACCAAGAAAAAGAAGGCTCGTCTCTATGACCCCTAACGATGTAACAACTTATTGAGTATTGTATTGACAAAAAGTTTTTCACAAATTATGGTCACATTTCAACAATTGGAATTTAAGCTATTTTAAAACTTAACTTTTAACAGGCCCCAAGGTGTTAGGTGGTCCCTAACCCTTTTCTGGCCTCTTGTGCTATAAAACAGGGGGGCTGCCTAAAACGTCGCTATATATAATGCAGCAAGGTCAGGACACTTAAAACCACTGCTTAAACTCCATGCAGTTGCAACACTGATAGTATCAGTCTTGTACAGCCCTTTGCACGTGTACAAATGCACCACGCACGCTCCGCAAACACGGTGACTCAAGACTACGCAAATACGACCTGGACACAATCGACCCCGTCAAAGAACCACGTAACAAACCGGACGTGAGTGATAATAACAAGCGAAACGTCAAATATGTATTTGTCCATTAAAGCGGGCCAGGTTTTGCAACACAACCACTGGCAACTGCACGTGGCGAGGGGTTGGAGGCTCGTGCTCAAAGTGCACCTGGCCTGGCACAGTTGCCATGGTGACGTCCCCGCCACTTCGTGGCGAATACCCGGGTATTGGAGGCTCGTGAAGGACGCTGCTGCGACCGGGCAGTTGGGAGGCAATCATCCCTCCTGCAACAACAACGGAGGGCAAGAAGAGCGACGCCTCACAACAACGAGCGGAGCGCCCTGGCGGCTGAAACGCAGCAAGTTGGCACAGTAGGGGGGGTACAGCTAGTGGTGCATCTAGCAGTGGTCATCTCAGTCAGCCAACCCATGGCACCTGCTGGCTCTGTCCCGATGACCTCCTGCACCTAGCCTGGCACAGTAGGGGGGGTACAGCTAGCTGGTGGTGCATCTAGCAGCGGTCATCTCAGTCAGCCAACCCATGGCACCTGCTGGCTCTGTCCCGATGACCTCCTGCACCTAGCCTGGCACAGTAGGGGGGGTACAGCTGGTGGTGCATCTAGCAGCGGTCATCTCAGTCAGCCAACCCTTTGGCACCTGCTGGATCTGTCCCGGTGACCTCCTCCTGCCAGCAGCGAGCTTTCGACACTTTCACGTGGCAGCCTCAAAGTGCACCTGGCCTGGCACAGGCGCCGTCGTGGCGTGGCGCCTGTTGGAATGCGGCGGGGGCGGTGGCGCGCGCGCTCGCGGCTAATTATGCGTGACGTCACGACACACCCACCCACGCCCAGGTTTGTTCGAGCACGTGGGGGCTTACTCCTTCCGAGCTCTCGCCACGTTCGTTTTTGACGTCACCAGGAGCCGATGTTGCCACGTGCGCGGTCCCCCCCCCCTCTCTTCCCCGTGACGTCACGTCGCCTGGAAGCTGACGTTGCCGTGACAACGCGGCGCGTGACGGGACAGCGCGCGAGGCGCGTGCCAATTTGTTAATTGATGGGGTTATCGGCGATAGATTAATGAGAACGACATTAGCGAGGGTCGTTATTATAAATACATTTTTGGGGGGGGGGGAGAGAAAAAAATGTGTCCATCACTTCCTCGCGACGTGAGCGGCCGTCACCGCTGGCCGTGACTTGCAACGTGGACCAATCGGCGCGCAGCTTCCTTCTTGCGAAACTTTGAATGGCCTTGGTCTTGGTTGTTGCGGTGGATCGGGCAGCTTTTCCGTGCAAGTCGTTTTATTCTCAAAAATACAGATACGTCGACAGTGGTACGTACTGAAAGCGCATCACTTAACAGAGCGTGGAGCTTGAATGCCGGTGAAATTAGCGCGCGAAACGGCTCAATTTGGCTCCGCGAAAACCAGGCCTGGATGGAGCCTACGGGCTTTCCTATAAACATGCCCTGAGAACGGGGGAGTGTTGATGCCGGTATATGGCATTCGAAAAGTAAACATTCACCGGCTTTCCAATTGTACAGGGTATAAAATTACTCCACTTGCCGGGCGGGGCGTTGCACCAATGTGGTCTTGCCCTTTGGAGGCAAGGGTTGTCAATTCGCGTCGGTGTTTTAAAAAACTTACAAACCTGCTGGGCTGCGATTTGGCCTGGAGGAGGGCAGTACATAAACTTGGTTACTGACCTGCTTCTGCAGACCTTTGTGTGTTATACTGTTGTGATTTGTGACTGGGTATTCTGGTTTCAACCCAAAACACTCTTCAAAAGGAATTGGTCCTACTTCCAACTGCAGGTCCTTATAACACCGCTTCCTAAATGCAACTATACGGACAATTTGAAACATTTTTGCAGCTAGTTGTAGGAAACATTTTGGGGTATTCACCTACCATTGAATTTTGTTATATGCAACCAGCCGGAGCTGCTGTGAGTGAGGTACATTTTAAAGGGGGAGGTCTTAAATCCATGATAATACCAATAAATTGGGCAAAAACCCACCTAGAAACTAAATTTGCAGGATGTTTCGAATTACAAACCTCACCATTTTTAAAAAAAAACTGTTAATCTAAATATGACGGCAGGCACTGCTAATCCTCCATAAGTCGTGTATTGGTAAACAATATTAGTAATTCAGATAATTCGCGTACAACTGTGTTTATAATCTTTACTACCAGCCAGGAAGACCTAATTTCACATTGCCCCGTGCAATGGGCAAGATATTTTTGGGGAAATTTAAGATATTAATTGGCGACTTCAGTTATGTTTTACAATAGCAGGCTAATTAAACTAACGTTACTTCTTTCTCTGCCACAAAGCATAAAGAAAGGCCTCAATGACAGTAACAAAATATATAGCCGTGCTTTGAATAACAATTCAATTGTTTTTTATTGGAAGGGAAAAGAGGAAGATAATGTAAATTCCTGGTATGGCAAAATTATTTGTGTCCAAAATTATGCAACTAAATTATCTAATATTTTTATGGGTTGCAAAAACTTGGGGAGAACAATGAGAGAAAATCCAGCAAGCTAAGCAACAACTAATAACTGCTCTTTGTACTTGTGTACACAAGGAAGCCCAGTGAGTGATCTGCACTGTTGCAATATTTGACATGTTTTGGCTTGTACCACGTGTTGGGAATGATGTCCGACTTTTCGTTCCACGTAATGGTATCGTCAGGAACTTTGCAATTCAGTTATATACGAATTTAATTAAGTTCCTCGAGAAGCTTCCAGCATGTGGAACGAAACATCGGACACCGTGCCAAACAACATACAATTCCACTTTTGAAGCCCCCAAGAAGTAGAGCGAAATTTTGGACATGTCCAACGACAAACGTTACAACAACAAAAAAACTTCGCAGAGCTGTAAAACTAAACTGCGAAAACCTATGCTGTTTGATTTGTGTTTTCACAGAAGAGCAATAATGAAAGCCCTGATCCTGGTGGGTGGGTATGGCACCAGGCTGCGACCCCTCACACTCAGCCTCCCCAAACCGCTGGTGGATTTCTGCAACAAGCCCATCCTGTTCCACCAGGTGGAGGCACTCGTCAAGGTGCGGCTCTTGCAATGTAATGTTTCATTGTTTACCATTGAAACACACAAAGCCGTGATCTGAATGTTTCCAAAGTCCTCACAAAGTTTGCGCCGTCACGCTTAGACCGTAAAATGCTTACTGTCTTTGCTGGCCACTCCGTGGCACTCTTACGTAATTGCGATGTTTGAATCTGTTTATACTTGTCCAAATAGTATATAAAACCCTTTGACAGTATGTACAAACCTTTTTATTCCTTGATTGATACATGTGTCGGAAATGCAGGCTGGCGTGAACCATGTAATCCTGGCGGTAAGTTACATGTCCGAGTTGCTGGAAAAGGAACTCAAGCAAGAGGAAAAGAAGGTTGGCACACACCTGCAGCCTTCACCTTTAGGGTCCCATTTGCATGCATGTATTTTGCGTTTCTTTTCAAATTTAACATTTCAACTATTTTCATGACGGTGATAACTCTGGGTAGAGTGAAGTGGTGGCACAGTGGTGAGCACAAGGTACTAATATTTTGGTCATCCGAGTTGGATTCCTAGCCATGGGTAACATAAGTGGAGAGTAGTATCTGGACCAGTCCAAGATCCTTCTCCCAACTCCTCACCCACACTGACCAGCATGGTAAATGTGATCAAATTACCCTCATGACTGACACGAATTGGGGATGCCTTGAGCAGTGTTATTGACAGAGTGCTGAGAATATATTTAATATGTTTATTGATAATATCATTCATTTATGATCATTCCTGATACCTCATAAATGGTAGCTTAACTTTTCCATTAAGATTCTTGGCTGCCTATATCAATCTACATTTGTGTTTTCCCATTGCAGTTAGGGATCAGAATATCTATGTCCCATGAGACTGAGCCGCTCGGTACAGGTAAGCTTACCAAAGGCATGTTGTGGCCGAAACATACACCGCATGCCGTGTAGCCAAAATTACTTTATAATACGTTTACTTGCTACCTGCTGCTACCATGTCGTGAATGGAGGGGCTTCCCGTTTTGTGTGTGTGATATGTCACAGCTGGGCCACTTGCCCTGGCACGAGACATTCTTAAAGAAGACAACGAGCCCTTCTTTGTCCTCAACAGCGATGTCATCTGCGAGTTCCCCTTCGCGGACATGATCAAGTTTCACAAGCAAAACAACAGGGAGGGCACTATTGTGGTACGTCCGAACACTCGGGTTGCCACATCCAAAATACCAAAAGTACCCTGGGGCATATTGTGAGAAAAAGAATACCTGACAATGCCAAAAGAGGGGAAAATTACATGTGAATGCAGTTTCCTTCGTGGTGTGTTATTGTTTAACTGACAAAACAACTGGACTTTTATCATTTTATGTCATGGGAAGATGGCTTTGTTTAACATGGCTTTCTCAGGACAGCTATCTCAGATCGTTTGTTACAATACCACAATGTGACTGGTGTTCAAGGTTATGCCATCTTGGTTGTCTGACAATTTGTATATGCAGAGATAATTGCCAAAGTCAAGATGATCCTTGGCAAGAATCAACAATGTGTTTCATTCATAAGCTAAATTTGGATTGGATGCCGACAGGTTGGGTAATTATTACCTTAAAATACACACAATTGGAATACTATTAATATTTCTGCAGTCTGCCTTCACTTTAACATTAAATTCGTCACACGTGCTTGTCTGATCAGAAACTGCTCCGTATGCAAAGGGTTGTACATTCTTCAGTGGCACATCAAAGAAAGAATGTCATTCCCTCTGGTGTGCAGGCTTAAACCATCCCTGGCTTTTATCCCACTAAAATGTATATATTTTCTGAAAATTATATCAAATTTGTGGCATATGTTAAGTTGGCTGATGTAGTGACACAAACTATATAAAATATTGCAGGTCCAAGTTCATGAATGGGATGTACCAACAAACCCTGATCTTCCTTTTAACCAAAGACGTGCATTAAGTTTGTCACGCACACATGCTTTCAGCATCCAAGGCCTTCTGTCAAAGCCCACAGTCAATAGCCACTCCTTGAGAGGTAACTTTTTCTCTCTTGCCACACCTTTGGTCTGGAAACCCCCACCCCTGTCTATTCACACTGCCTATTAAGTCCTTTGTTCAAATCCAGGCTTAATGCTCTGCTGTACTTGTGTGTGGATTTGTTTTGGGCTATTCCAAGATGTTGCTCTAGCCTCTCTGACCCCACCATCCTCTTCTACTCTCATTTAGTTTTAAAATCTTGCAAAGTGTTTTGAGATGTGATTGCACTTAGATGCTATACGTATATGTATGTTGAACTTCTTTCGCACCGTACGTAACCAACCATCCTCATCGGAGGTGTGAAGGAAGGACGACAAACTAAAAACAAAAAGCAGTGAAATTAGAAGTTATTGTTGAACTGCTTTAGCTCCAACCGAATGCCCCTTCACATTGCAAACTCTTCCTTTGCGCCCTATATCGTAACTGCCTTCTCCTTTATAACCTTGTAGCCTTCTACCCCCAGCTCCCTTCTTTTCAAAACAACACTAATGTGAATACACTCCTTTACGTACAGTATCTTGAGATGCCGATATTTAAAGACTTTTTTTAATCCAAACAATTATGTGGTCGTGTATTTTATATATGTATTGTAATACACAGGTTACCAAGGTAGAGGAGCCTTCCAAGTACGGCGTGGTGGTTTACAACTCCGAGGATGGCAGGATCCACCGCTTTGTTGAGAAGCCTCAAGTCTTTGTCTCCAACAAGATTAACGCCGGCATGTACATCTTCAGCCCGCGCATCCTTGACCGCATCCAGGTGCGAGCCGGAACGTTCCTTTTTTCTTGTCCCCTATGGCACAAGAAATCCATTGTTAAGAGCACTACATGATCAACAATCTGGAAGATTTGCACAATTCGGCAGTGTGCCGAAGCGGTTACTCCTTTGCAGTTCCTCATGAATGTATTCCGATTGTGCTTACTTGGTACAAATCCACTGCTCAGTATGTGTAATCGATGCATGATAGTGTCATATTTGGTGACATGGGAGCTTTGTGTGTTTTGTTGCAGCTTCGACCAACATCCATTGAGAAGGAAATTTTTCCAGCAATGGCTCAAGCAGGGGAGCTTTATGCCCTGGAGCTGCAAGGTAACATTTCTGTTGAAGCCACGAATCATTATACGTTGTAACAAACCTGCTGCATATCTATCTGGACACCGCATGCTCATGCAAACTATTACTTATGTATGCTGAGTCAGTGTTTTTATGTGCCAAGCTCTGATAAGGCCTTATGAGTTAAAGAGCGAAAACTCACAGTGGCTGATGTGAATGTCTTGTTGTTAGCGACGAGTATGTCTTAACATTTGGGGTGCAATAATGCATCAATCAATATCGATTCTTAAGCTCACAACACCTGCAATGAACCGCATCTGTAAAAGATCAATGTTTATCGATTCACTTGTATTTGTATGCTGGGTTGGAAGCAGTGATGCAGTGGATAGCGCACTTTCCTATAAATACAGTGATCTGAGTCAGATTTCTAGCCCAGGACCCCCTTCCCTAATATGCACTGATTAGCACAATGAAGTAAGGTCAAAACCCCAACGACTAATGCAGCATGGGGGAAGACCTTCACCTCGCAGTTGATTGGCACATTTCTATGGAATATTATAAAAAAGGTACGGACGGGGCAGTGGTGCAGCTGACAACTGTGCAAATAACGTCCAAGCATCGTCCTAGTGCAAATCGAGTTATTATCCTGGTCACATCAGCCGACCTTGATCTGCGTCAGGATGTGCAAAGTGGAGTTGCGTTACGCGTGACATTTGTGTGTGCGCAGGCTTCTGGATGGACATTGGGCAGCCCAAGGACTTCCTCACGGGCATGTGCCTCTATCTGCACGCCGTGCGCCTCAAAGCCCCCGAGCGGCTCCATCACGCGCCGGGGATTCTGGGTAACGTCCTGGTGGTATGCTGACGCAGCGCACCCGTGTCACTGAAACGGCGAGCGAAGGGCCCGCATTGATATTTATAACGCGCGCCATGTACGGCAATAGATTGCATTGTATTAAATTTATTGCTCACCACTAGAGGGTGCTTTATATACGCATAGTAAAGTGGGGAAATTGCTCTCAGATTGAGTCGTTAAAAATGTATTCTAAAGAATGAGTTGCATTATAAATCTATTTGTTTACTAGTAAAAAAAGTTTTATTATAAGTACGTTTTTTTTATTATATAAATGGCTATAAAATATTACGAAACTTTACAGCTAAGATTGTAAGCAACTAAGATTGTAAGTATTTATGTATTATCTCCTTCCTTAATGGGGTCTTGGTGGGCGAAGAGGATATCCAGTTTAAATTAACCTGTAGTATTTAGTTGTGTTGCTATTTGATTAATGGATTGGCCAAAACTTGGAGGAACAAACCAGCACAATGAGCAGTATTTGCAATATGTAAATGCATTTGCCCTGAGCTGCCGGTCGACTTCCTTGCTATGAGCGAAATACTTCTGAAGAAAGAGTCAGTGTCCCATGCACATGCATGATTTTATTTAATTTTTCTAAACCTTACTCGCGATGGTGGCGTGTCTGTGTGTGCGAAGCCGTAGCGTAACGGTAAACGCACCTCACCACGAACCCGGCGATCCGGCTTCAGTTCTCGCTCGCGGCCAACATCGATGACTAATATCTGAACTAGTCCCTGGGCCTTTCACTAGCTTGACTCCGCCTCAATTAAATAACTGGTATGGCGTGTAAACATCACCACTTTGGGATACACAGGCAAGCCGGGCACGGAGCTGGACCACCCACCTCCCAGTATGCCCTACCGGCCGTAACAGATGGCTCACTAATAGCAATTTCCACAGCATTCTGCTCAAGGCTCTATGTGTGAGAACCTTTGTCTTTGTGCTCCATCCTCCAGGACCCCAGTGCTAAAATCGGCCAGAACTGCCGGATTGGCCCCAACGTGGTGGTGGGGCCGGGCGTGGTGATCGAGGACGGCGTGCGCATCCAGCGCTGTACCGTGCTGCGTGACTCGCGCATCAAGTCGCACTCGTGGCTCGACTCCTGCCTCATCGGCTGGAGCTCTGTCGTCGGGCAGTGGGTCAGTTCTCACTCGCGCTAACGCCGGCAGCAGCCTCAGCAGTGGTGGTAGCAGCGAGAGTTGACGATGCTCACGCTCGTTATTGGCGTCGTCACTGCCATTATCCGTGATCAATCCACTGCTGGATAAAGGCCTCCCCGAGTCGTCTCCATCTTTATTTATGCGTGTATGTTGAACTTCTTTTGCAACCGTACGCAGCCAACTGTGATAATCGGAGGTGCGGGAGATGGACCACATACTAAACACAGAAAGCAGTTCGAAAGAAATTAGTTTTTTATCTAGATATAAAATCTCTCGCACCCACCGCAGACCTGACTTGGAGGCAATTGCAATTGTGTAGTTTGTAATTAATTACAATCACAATGTAATTGTAATTTCAGTTGACATTGCGTTTAAAATTGTCATTCTACTTAACCCAGGTCCATCTCACGGTCTTCCGATGCAGAAACCATCTAGCCTACACACGAGCTGATTTCATAACTCCGTTTCCATGGTGGATGTTCTCTTTGGGGATGCTCCCTTCTTTGAATGCTACTCTGATGTTTGTCTTGACCATTGGCCATCGTCTGTTCCAACGACATGTCCTGCCCAAATCAATTAATTTTCTTCAGATGTGTTGTTTATAACTTGTATATGTTCTAAAAGTCATGTGTTCATCGTTCTGTTTAATTCCTTGTACCATTTTCAGTTTATTTTATTTGCCAATGTCCATGTTTCTGTTCCATAAGTCGTTGGGTAATATACACAGATTAATATATTTCATCTTTAGGCACATTATTGCTTTTCATTATTAAGTTGAGTTTCCCAAAAGCACTCCAACCTGCTTTCATCAACCCATGTTTTTTCCCTCATCTGGGTCTGCCTTCAATAATTGCCCAAGGTATGCACACACTTTATCATTAAATTTTCATTCATTCAATGTATTTTTTGAGTAAGAACTCGCCCCTACTAACTAAAGAGGGCATCACAATACTTTACAGTGTAAATTAAACGAAGGTAGTCTTACCTATAAAATCAAGAGACACATATAAAAATAACAAAATGAGAGGACATAATCAAGGAAAAGCTAAAAAGAAAAAAAAATAGTCTTGCAGAGTTTCCTGAACTGTGCTCTGAGCCAATCTGAGGGCCGGCGGAAGAGAGTTCCACATCTTAGGCGCCACACACGAGAAGACCCTACCTACTACCGTCCAGCGTAGAATGAAAAATCCTCGGTTGAGCTAGAAGGGCCAGACGAGACTTGAAGTGCTGACGACCAATGGCGTTTTGTGCTATCAGCCAATTTGATCACATTAGTATGAGTATCTGTGGCAGTGACACAACTATATTACACTCACATTCGTGAAATAAAAAATTAGACCAGAAAATGTGCTGCCACGACCATGAGTGGACATGGGTAGTTGCGTAATGAAGCCCCGTTCAGCTCAATTAAACTACACGGAAAATAATAAATAAATGGGCGAAAGTCTGTTTGATCACTAAAACGTACGTAATATGTAGGTCTATCAGCCAGCCAATGAGTCGTATGGTGGACTAATGATTTCTAGCAGCATTGTTTAAAGCAGGAAATCCCTGGATTGGTTTTTGGCCTAGTTTCTAAGTCCCATCTGCAGATTGTGGCCGAATAACAAATTAAGCGAAATGCTCTGGTGTTTTAGGCAAAAACTCTCCACAATTACAAATGCTAATCATTTTCTCTATCAAGAGCCATATCACATTGACCCGTGTCCAAATTATTGCAGCACGTACTTTATACTAAGAGGTTACAGGGCTGTGGAGTGGCGGCGTAGCAGTTCGCACACTGCGCCATAAACCACCCAGCGATCAGAAATGTATTCCCCGCTACGGGTAAGAACAGTGGTGAGTGATACCCGAACAGTTTCTGGGCCCCAACTTCACTAACCCACACCGATCGGCATGGTGCAGTATGGTCTCATATGACTGATGCGTCATTGAAGGCCTTCATCCATTCATGAATTGACAAAGGGATATTATATTCTTGGTTCTTTCGGTAAAGTCACGTAGAAGGGAAACAATAAAATAATAAAAATATAAAACAATAAAATTCTCACGACGTGAAAACCACAGCAAGAAAATTTGAAAAGAGTGGCGGTTTAAAAAAAAAACGCCACTTTTTTCAAAATTTCTTGCTGTGGTTTTCACACCTGATGATGATTGCTTGTGTTGCAGTCGAAACGACGTGAGAATTTATTTTATATTTGTATTATTTTATTGTTTCCCTTCTACGTGACTTTACCGAAAGATCTAACAATATGAATCTCTGCAGTCACGAAAGCTTTCAATCAAAAGGGATATTAGTGAAAGATATTAACGTGGACGTAACCCGTCTGGTGTGTTTTTGGCTTGTCCAGCATGCCGCTCGTCATGATGTCTCACGTTGCACGTCACGTGGGAGCCTCTCATGCAGTAACAACCTAAAGACACGTCGCAGCACAACCGCGAAAATATACATAGTGGGTTATAAATTGACTTCTCGCAATCTTGTGTAGCTTACGTGCTGTAAATGCTAAAGCGAAAACACTTTTTTTTCCCTGCTCCACGCCACAGGTGAGGATGGAGAACGTGACGGTGCTCGGCGAGGACGTGATCGTGAATGACGAGCTGTACCTGAACGGAGCGAGCGTGCTGCCCCACAAGGCCATCGCCGACTCCGTTCCTGAGCCCAAGATCATCATGTAGCGCTCGCTCCGTCTCGTGAGAAACACGGGGATAGCGAGAAGGCCCTGTCCGTGCCGCGCTTTCCGTCTCGTCTCGAGTCGTTTCTCTTTTTATTTACGAAAGGTCAATTGGCTTATGGGCTGCTCTTGACATATATAAAATATGTGCACACCGACGCAAGTGCGTAAACTCCTGGGAGCTGACAATTGTCACCCCCCCCCCCTTGACACAAGGGTGGACACCATCCATCTTTCGATCCTACGTGCGTTTTCAAGGAAAACCAGATGGCCCGGTAGGGATGTTTCTCGTTTACTGTGACGCATGCACCCAGCTGAGAAGTCGCCCAATGATGGCGATAAAAAACTTGTAACATATTGTAAAATGTCTATCGGAAACATCACGTTGTTGCTGTTGTTGTGGACGGCTGTGAACATTTTGAAAGAAGAAAACTGCTGCAAGTCGAGATCGGTTCTTCTAATGTGTAAAAGTTAGGTCTGTTTTCAAATTTTGAAGTGCAACACTAGGTTGTTTAGGGTCTCTCCAACCGAGGGCGATTGCAGTTGAAAAAAGGGGATTGCAATATTCATGAAGCTGCTTAGAAAAAAAACAGTGCATTTCACATGTCTGCATGGTTTTTGTCGATGTTTAATCAGTCTTGCCAAATGGTGGACTTAAGTTGAAAATACAATAGGCGTCCTCTTAGCAGCCTTGTGTAAAGCATTGCCTGTTTGTTAAGTAAACCACGAAACGGGAAACGTTATTCAAGTGCAGGAAAAACTATTCCTAAACATTTCCACATATATGAAATATTCATCTTCTTTGGTTATTTCGGTAAAGTCACGTAGAATGATAATAAAATAATAAATTGATAAAATAAAATAACACAATAATATTCTCACGACGTTTCGGCCACAACACAAGCGGCCTTCATCAGGTGAAGGGGGGCAAGACTGTCTGGTAGGACACTCCAGCGCTGTCCTACCAGACAGTCTCGCCCCCCTTCACCTGATGAAGGCCGCTTGTGTTGTGGCCGAAACGTCGTGAGAATATTATTGTGTTATTTTATTTTATCAATTTATTATTTTATTATCATTCTACGTGACTTTACCGAAAGAACCAAAGAAGATGAATCATTGCAGTCACGAAAGCTTTAAATCGAAAAATATGAAATATTGTTTGTCTTTTCTGAGAAGCCTGCTGACTTATTAAATGCCTGCCTGCATTCCAATCTCCCCGATTTCGAAAATGGTACAGCGCAGTGTTTTTACTGGGTCACGGAGATTCGATGACGCATCATATAATTGTATTACTGTAAATTGTTTAAAATTAGCAGGTAGCCTATATATATGGTAGTCCACATTATAAGACGAATACAAATGCAGTGCTTGTTTACAGACATGTCTTTCACACCCAAATGAAGTTAAATCACGTGCACTTAATGAAGTGTACGCAACATTTTATATTGTCTAAACTGAATGCCTTATTTTCATTTTTATTTTTGCTTTGGAGAACAACACTATTACAATCCTATTCATGAATAGGCATATTATTAACATTTTGAGATTAAAATGTGTAAAATTGTAACGACTGGTTCTATTAAAACTTGTTGGTGGGTGGAGTAAAATCGTGACTGGCATCCGCATTTGAATATTGCCTTTTCTACATGTGGAGGTACAACAATTCCTGTGTTGTGAAAGATGGGATGGTGCAGTGCCTGACTAAATACTTTTAAGAAGATGCAGTTTCCTTTGGAATTGTTTTTTCAAGTTGAATAAGAGAGTCAATGGGGGAATTGGTGATGCAGTGATTAATGCGACTGATATCTGATCTGGTCCTTGGTGCAAGTTAACTTTCACGATTGACAGCAATAGGAGGGCTTTCGTCCAGCAGTGGATTGACAAAGGGCCGTACATACGCAAGGGAGTAGAATGGTAGTAACACTACCTTCCCGACGATGCGTCCAAGAAACGTGCTGGCTAAAGTCTGACAGTTCCACTACTTCGTCTAGTACAGGGGTCGGCAACCAAAATAACAAGAAGAGACATTTTTTTATTTTCGAACGGTGTCAAAAAAAAAACAACGCTCTTTCAACAGCCGCAATGGGCGTGGTGAACACGAGACGGTGGGATCATAAATAAACAACGTCACGATACAGTCCCTGGAAGAGCCGAACGCGTCTCCAGAGCCGCAGGTTTTGCCGAGCCCTGGCCGAGTACAAAAGTAAAATGTGTTGACGAGGGAGCTTTGAGGGCCAAGATAGTATAGACCGTTTTATTCGTGGCGTCAATGACCGCACACGCGCGTTACTTGGAGCGGTGACGTGGGCCCGCGGTCGTGCGTTTTGCCACTCGTTGCAGGGGTTTCACGGTTTGAATTTGGTGGGCTGCACCTGTTAATAATGCAGGTACATTAACCATGCAATACTACGGCGCTGTCTTCTTCAGGGTGGACGTTCAAGGTCCCGTTGTCGTTTGACGAGAGCAAGCCGTTGTGCGCTGGTCTCATCCAGATTTTAAAACCTGGCCGCACGTTACCCAATCGGGATTACACGTGGCAACATCGCCCCCTACGGTACTACGGACTGTGTGAAGCGTAGCGTGCTTCGTGATAGCCTTGCCCTCAAAGAATGGCACGAATACCCAATGTACGAAAGATCATAAGATTATGCTCGCATGACTGAAAGTTAATCATGGGATCTTGGCCCAGATATTAATGTTTAACATTGCATTACGTGTCTTTAAATTTCATTTATTAAAGCATCTTTTAAAAAGAAAATGGTTTTAGCTTTTTGTAATCGCCTGCCCTGAATTACCCTCTTTTGTTCCAGGTCCAGAACAAACCTTGATTCTCGTAGCCCAGCAGAGTGCAACGACTAGAGATTGTATATATTTTACTGATGAGCTGCCCCCATATTACTGCCAGAATAAAATTAATCATCATTTACCACGCAACATCAACAAACGGTTTAGTTTACGTCTCCCTAAAAAATCCCAGAAATATTCGAAAGGTCAACAATCAAATATAACGAGACATTTAACATGCTTTCCTGGACTTCGTGACCTCCTGGGGATCTTTGTCAACACATTAGACCAGCCTTGCTCTGCTGTGGCGTCATTATGCCTTGGTACACATGGGGTATGATGTATTGTTATTAGGCAACCAGTGAGCAAATTGGGTTCATAACCCACAGCACTTTTCCAGAGGAATTTATGATGATGCGTGCAGCCTCAGACAAGCTACCACCTAATGCAGTGAACTGGCTGGCCATTAAGGTCTGCATAGCCTCCACATGGCAAGTCAGCGAGGATGGCCCTTAATGGAATTTTTATTTCCTCGGCTTGAATATTTCTTCACCGGTCCAAATGCTGCACGGACACTTTTTCATGGAAAAGCATTTCGACCTACCGATTGTCTGCAAAGCAATCAGGGGAGAAATAAAATTCATAGTGTGTTTTTGAAGAGCCCTCCTACACGACTCCTTCCCTGTGGTTTTAGGATGAGTAAAATTGCATTTCAAAAAGGGATTCCCACGTGCACGAACGGGTGTGGTGGGGGTAATTAACGCAGATAATGAAATGTAGCACCGGCAGTGCCGGATGATCCGTAGCTACGGTCCCCAAGTTTCATGGGCCACGCGCTAAACGCTTTCAAGCTATCAATTCCGGTTCGGTAATTCTGCACTTGCTCTATTACTATAGTACTATACCGCCTTCAACTTTTATGAACGACTGGGTGTTAAGGTTAGCGATTTGTCGTATTAACTGGCCGTATAGCAGATGAAAAAATACAATTACTTTGCTATGCTAGTTAAAAATGCGTGTTTTAATATTTACTTTTATTATTATTTAGGGCCCCTTCATAACATATGCTACAGGCCCCGCACTAGCTTAATCCGGCACTGCGCACCGGTATTCACCCGTTGACACAGGTGAATACGCCAGGTCAGCGAGAGAAAAGCACACTGAAAGAATAACACGTGACCAACAACATTAACGCAACGCCCTCGCGTGAGCCTTAAATGACGGATGGCCATTCGTAAAGAGGGAATGATAAAGACAGTGGCAGCGAGGGGGTGATGTAAAGCGTCCCGAGAGGGACCTCGCAGGATCGTGAGAAATTCACGGCGGTGGCTCGGACAGGGCTCTTCGTCCAACGATGGATTGACCACGGATGTAATAATGAGGTGTGCAAAAAATATGAACGACAAGCTGACATAATGGGCAATGACCTTTTCCCCAGCGCAGGGGTGGGTAGGGGGGAACAAAGAAGGCAAGAAGATTGTTACTCAAGAAGACATCACCACGGTGCGTGCACGTGGTGAGCAATTGCTTAGCCTAACGAGCGCCGCCAGTGGACTCGCGGTTGATGTATTGGTACCGTACCGGGCTTAATGGGCATGGGGCGGTCGGGAAGGCTTTGTGGGATCGCCCGGCAGAAAGGCGATCCCCGTGTCCTCACCGCGCAGGTAACGCGAGCCTCGCGTGCGCAGTTAAAGCCTTGGAGAAATGAGATAATATGAGAAATCAGACTAGAAGCAATGAGCGCAGTGCATGTCGCATGTTAACCTTGACGACATGATTGTCTATTCTGCAGTAAAATAGGGCCACGTGCAGAAATGTATATGGGTTTTTTCACGGTAACAATAACAGCAAAGCTAAAAAAAAATAAGAATCATCATCGTCAGTCATAATCAAGCCACCTCCGGATGAAAACCTCCCCCAAGACATCGCCATCTGTCACAATCCTGCGATACAACAGAAAAACTTTTCAGGCCTTTTATCGATTATTAATAGGGTATCTCAGCATATCATTCAAATAAAACAGCCGCAACACGTTATGTTATTTGTTTACCTTGAATGCAAAGTAACCAACGTAATATGGCAAATCGTGTCCCAAATGTGACTGCAGCTTTGTGGCACGTAGGAAAAAAGCAGAGATGGGGATGTGCGTTCATAACGGGCAGTGCTCGACATTCGTTTACGGCCTTGTACTGCTTAAGTCGGAACGACGTTCTGACGTTTCCCTCCACGCGCAAGAAGAATCTCCCAGCACGTGGGAGAGAATAATCCAGACATCGCACCAAATAACACGTGGGAGAGAATAATCCAGACATCGCACCAAATAACACGTGGGAGAGAATAATCCAGACATCGCACCAAATAACACGTGGGAGAGAATAATCCAGACATCGCACCAAATAACACGTGAGAGAGAATAATCCAGACATCGCACATAAATAACACGTGGGAGAGAATAATCCAGACACCTCACCAAATAACACGTGGGAGAGAATAATCCAGACACCTCACCAAATGACACGTGGGAGAGAATAATCCAGACATCGCACCAAATAACACGTGGGAGAGAATAATCCAGACACCTCACCAAATGACACGTGGGAGAGAATAATCCAGACACCTCACCAAATAACACGTGGGAGAGAATAATCCAGACATCGCATCAAATAACACGTGGGAGAGAATAATCCAGACATCGCACCAAATAACACGTGGGAGAGAATAATCCAGACATCGCACCAAATAACACGTGGGAG